GAGGGCAAGGAGCTGGCCGAGCATGCTGCTGCCGCCGCCCAGCGTGCCCAACAGGACTCCACGGCTGCCCTGGGCCAGCGCCTGCAAGACGTACACTTCTGGAAGGCCGAGCTCCAGAAGGAGATTGAGGACCTTGATGCTGAGACCGGCCTGCTGGCAGCCCAGAAGCAGCGGCTGGGAAGGGCGCTCGATGCCACTGAGGTGCCCTATGCCATTGCCACCGATAACCTGCAGTGTCGGGAGAGGAGGCAACCCCCGGACCTGGTCAGTGATGAGGTGGAGAGAGAGTTGCTGAAGGTGAGCAGGATGTTAGGATGTTAAGGGTAGTTGGCTACCCTCTCTTAGCGCTGCCCTGGGCTTTAAAATGGTGAACAGCTTGGTCAGTAGGTGATAACTGCAGCTCATAAGGGTATCTTCTGGCAATGCATAGAGGCCTAGTGCCCCTTCCTGGCAGTCTGGACTCACTCTGTCACTCCACAGTTTAGGATGGATTATTTAAAATCCTTCCTCTGTTTAAAAAGTATTTAAAATCACAGGAGTATGACTAGAGGAGACTAGATACAAACAAAATCAAAACAGAGGTTTCTTGAACCAAGATAGGCATCCTATTCTGGCATTAAACTTTTTCCAGCCTCCACTTGGATTAAAGTCCCCTCATCTCTGCACATTACACCTTAAAAATGCAGTACCCAATAAGCAGACTATTCAGGACCAGTGAAATTCTCCTTGCCTTTTTCCACGCTCAAGCTGTCCCAGTCTGGCAGTTTCTTCCTTTACCTTTTACTACCGAGTCTGATGCTGTAGTCTTGCCAAGGTTCATGACGAGGTGGTGATCCGACACTGTACTACAGTGTCTCAACACAAACCATCATTTTAAAAGTCCTGCGGGACAGCAGCACGGCTCTCTCCGAACTCTACAACGTAGTCGTGTGACACCTGTATGAGATGATAGCTCCAGGCAAGCAGAGGGGCACAGACAGATGGTATTTCTGACAGTGTGACTTCAACAAACCTGAGACTCCTGAAATTTGCTTGATTCCTTTCCTCCCATAGAGGACTCTTTACTCCAGCTGACACTTTGTTATCTGTCACTGAGATCCAACACTGCGTGCAGATTGCCTTCAAGGCCGATGTAATTATTGTGGCTGCACATGTTACAGAGAACAGATTCTGGGTCATTTTTCATTCTGGAGTGATACATATTCTAGTGCCCCACAAATAAATTTATTATTTGCCTGCAGCCTCCAATATACTGTGAAAGTTGATTCATGATGAGTTACTGATTAAACTAGATGATTAATATTTGTTGTTAGAAAAATATTGAAGAGATTTACACAGTTGATGGCATGATAGTATTTAGCAATATTTTAAATAGAAATTGTGTACAATTGCTGAATCAATATTTAAGAGGTTGTTCTAGTCAAAAATATAAATGTGAGAGTTAGTGTATAGGATATTTCAGTGTGTGAATTGTTACAAGATTCCGATGACAGAAAAAAATAATTTGATCAGCTTCTGATGTTTTAGAGATGTCTGTGAAAAGTCAGATTTACGCAAAAAAAACATTTTCTGGCCAGATTTCTCCCCTATATTTCTTTCCTCCTGATCTCAGAGAATAGTTTGTTCATTGCTCAGAAGTACATCTGCTGCTGCTAATTCTTCACCTGAAATTGTGATTCTCTGCTTGTGACGACAGACTGTCAACAGCCAAGTGGGATGTCATCAAAAAAGAATGATGTGAGTTCAGATGAGGCATGTATACCAGCAGCAGATGGACTCTAGAGAAATGAAGATTTTGTTGCTATGCCAATGACCTTTGCAGTGCAGAGGGAAGAGGAGTACATAACATCAGAGGAAATCCTTCCCATTTTCAGAGAGGAATAGATTTTATGGCGTGAATGTTTGCAAATAGATTTTAAAATGTGCCCTCTGTGGCTTTGCCAGCTCTTTAAACTGCAGCTATACTCTATACCTCTTCCACTGCAAGAAATCAGATGATACCTTGTATTTCTTACACTCTCCAAAACTGACTAATAATTCTTGACACTTAGACCTGCTCTTCCATGAATTCTGATTGTTCACTATGCAGATTTCCAAGTTAATGGCCCAGTTCACTGGTAGCTCTGTGTTATAACGCTTGCTTATTTGGAGGAGTTATGCAAATTTTATCACTAAAGTACTAACATACTTTTTCTGAATGTTGCTTACTTGTCCAGTCACTTTCTAATCTTAACTCTCTTAAGAAATGGTAATGCAAGGGGGATCAAGACTAATTTATTCTCTTCCCATGTGAAAACTGAGGAAAAAAAGAAATAGTTTCCACAAGTTGGCTATATGAGGAAACAGACATTCTTTTCCTTGCAATTTTAATTGCACAGTTAATTGATATTCTAGGACGTTTTCCTTCCTTTGAAATTCTTCCTCTCCTACTAGCAGCCCAGGCTTGTGTTGGCTTCATTCTCTGATATCTCTGCGATGTTCCTGCCAGCTCCCATGGACAGGAGCATGGGGGAAACTGCAACTTGGGGAAGAGCATGTCTGGACAAGGGACTTCACATAGTCATGGAAAAGCTTTTCATAGGACATCGGGTTTGTTCCTGCTTTCAGCTTTCTGCAACAGTGAAGAACATTTCTCAGTTCCCAGAGCATCCTGAGGAGATAACCACCTTTCAGCAGCCCCTTGGCAGATGACATTTAAAGAGACAACATCAAACACACATACACAAGCAGTTGTGAATCTCGGCATGTAATTGCACTTTTATTATCTGTTCAGTAGGAATCACTTCAGATGACTCACAAAGAAAACAGAAGTATCTCTGATGAAAGCTTTATGCATCCAGATAATATTTGGGGTTTTCCTATTTTTTGGCACACCATCTATTTCTTTTAGGGAGTTTTGGTTCCAACTCGTCTGTCCTATTTGCTTTGCAGCATGGAGTCATATTTAGATCACCTATTGTGATACATACCACCACTAAATAGCCACTGCTGGAATGAGGGATGAGGGTATTTAAGTGAAAGCTGCTCACATGCATAGTAAAATCAGCTGTTCCTCAGAAGTTCATTGACTCCACTTAACAGCATATTCATCTTTTCTTAATGCAATTCTGGTTAAGAAAAAGAAGTGGAAGAACGCAACTGTTTTTCCAATAAAGAAGGATCTTTGATGACTGACAATAAGATAAAATCTCTCAAATAGAATAATTTTATTTCTTTATGCTGCTGCATTGGAAATAGCTGAATTCATAAAAAGCAGTACATGCATCTGTTTTGTATGAGGCTTTTGACTTTCATAACCACATGACATCTTGTCTGAATCCCCTTTGCATCAGTTTAATGACAGTTTAGTATGTTTATGTGCACGCATTTAATATTGAAAATGTAAGCCCTAGCAAAGACTTACCACGTGGTGGTATACTGTCCATAAATCATGTTTCAGCTGCATATATCCTGCATTTCAAGGTTATTTCCACATGTCCAGTGTCCAGACTCATTAACTGAGTGCCAGATATGACTGTGGAATAAGTGGATGTACTTACATTTATGCCATTTTTTTACCGTAGACTCAGAGTGTTGATTTGTTGTGTGTTTGCTTCAACAATGAAGTCAGTCCCAGCTATTCCCTGATGCTGAAGACAAAGGCATTAGCCAAGATCCTGTCAACTGTGTAAAATTAAAGTTTAGAAAAGCAGAGAAAGGATACATATGTATGTATGCCTGCTAACTGCAATAATGGGGCAAGGAAAACAACAGAATACCATTTTCAAACACTGGGATCTGCAGCTTTGCCAAGTGAACCAGTGTGCAATAGGGCAGTCCTGCACATAGACACCTCAGTGAAGAGTGCAGTGCTTATCTTCAGCATCTGCAGATCACGGATTTTGAAATGACTCTTGGAGACCAGCAGGAAAAAGGCCAGTCACAGAGCTGAGATTTTGAAGGCTGTTACCTGCTTTCACTCCCAGCTGTAATGAGTAACAGTCTTACTGTTACATGCTGTTTGGGAGTCTAATTCTAGTGAGTACCGTAAGCTAGCTTGCTGATGTGTGGGACATCTGGTGTTGTGTTGTTACTGATGGATGGATGCAGCTGGATTTGTAATCAAGGGCAACTGCACAGCCTCTCTCACGGGGTTCTACCAGTTCCTCTTAGCTGCTCTCTCACTGTGTCATTCTGGCCCTGGGTGCTGTATTTAGACATTGCTGACATCTGCAAGTCACTGATGTAAAAAGACAGGCTGCAAAAAAAATGAATTTGTAAATTCATGGAAGGCACAAACATCTGCTCTTAAACGTTTTCTTTGCACCATTAATTAGACACTTACAAAGTGATGAACCGCAATGGTTTTATCACTAGATTTGAGGAAAATCCAACTTTTGCATCATAAACATTAAATACTGTAATAAAATAAGTGGCACACTAAACTATAAAATGTTCTCTCCCTGTTAATTGACAACCATTTGTAATAACAGAGGTTTATTATTAGTATTAACTGTGGAGAAGACAGCTGAAAAGAAGCCAGGATCACTTCAGATTTGACAGTATTTCATTTTAATAAACAGCACATGAAGACATATATGGGGAAAATAAGGAGAAAAAAAAAAGACATTTCATCCACTAAGTTGTCTCATGAACTGAAGAAATGCAAATCTCAGTTAATGTTGTCCTCTGAACCAGAGATGCTGCTAGCTACTAAAACTCTTTCACATGCTTTTCCTCTCTTAATGCAGACTGAGCCTTCAAATGAATTGCCAACACAAGTCTGTGCACACACTATGTAAAGGCCATCTATTCTGCCGCTTGCTAAAGCCCAGATTGCCCCCAGGATTTTAATGTGGAATCACCCACATTTTTATGGCTGAACTCACAAAGTCCGGGAGAGCTGTGCTCCTGGCTGCAGCTCTCTCTGCTGTGGTTGTTGATGGAATTTACTCTGCAAAGAAAATGTGAAGGAGCAGACATGGCATTTTGTAAATCCTCCGCACGGCATATGAGATTCCCAGCTCCTGCTCCTCTGCAGGTTGTGCTGCCTGCCAGGCATCCATGCAGTGTGGACCTTCTCCCACATCAACCCCACAGCCAGCCACAGGTACGAGTGGGCAGCAGGCTGGATTGTACCGCCGTGGCCAACAGTACAGCTGGGACTGAGGGACCTAAATCAAAGGATCTTCATCCTCAACCTAGTGCCACAGCTTTTCCCTGCCACACAATCTGACTTTTTTCTAACTGTTTTAAAAGTTGAGAAAAATCATTTATTAGATAAGCATTGAAAATTCATTGTCATTTACACCTGCTTATTCACTGTAACTAGTCTTAGACTTCCATTAATTACGGGAACTGTATCTTCAGTTTTAAATGTCACATTTGAATGAATATCTCCTCAACAGGGAATCCATTTTTAAATTTTATTTTAGGTCATTCAACAAGGGAATTCTTTATTTTTGCATTATTTCACTCTTTCCATGTGAGAGACCTTAATTGCTAAAGGAAGGCTTTCTCATTTAAAATTGTGCACATTACTCACAGGAAACTGGTTGTCTCTTTATTTACATGGAGACTGATTACCCAACACAAAATAATATCAATTACTATAAATGTAATTCCAACTCCTGGATCTTTCTAACCCTTTAAAATCCTTTTGAATTTTTACTTTTATAATTCAGCCATTGTAATACTTCCTGCCTGCAGAAAGTGAGTTTTAGTGTTCTCACAGTTTGTAAAATGATACCTTCAGCTATTTATTTATTTAAATTGTGCTCTTTCAGAGCCTTAAAAAAAAAGAATATTTTCTTTCCAATCATGATTGTTCTTTTCCATTTAGAATAAAATGATCTTTTTTATAGTCCCTGTTGGTTTCTTATGATGGAGAAACTGACGCTGCAGGGACATACACACTCATTTATTTGTCAAAAACAGTACAAGGATCAACCAGTGCCAGCAGTGTTCTGGGAACAGAGTTTATTAGTAAGTATATACTCCCCTAGCTGTCATTGGATGACTGTCATTGATGTAAAACAGCAAAATTAATTAGGAGTTTTTCATATACAAAAGCTCTTTTTAATATCTGAGCCTCAAATATTAAATTCCTTTAAACAAGAAAAAAGAAAATGCTTACTTGACTGGCTTTTGTATAATAACATGTAATCACCAGGTCAATAAAGTCAGTTCATAGAGCATTGATAGTTAATCACCAAAGCAGCGTTATTGCAGTCAAAAATGAGCACAAGGTACTTTTTGTTCAACAAAAGATTATTAGAAAGTGTGGTCTTTTTTGGTTTGATCACGTTTGTGTTGAAATGAACGTTCCTACTAAAACCAGCTTGAGCTGAAACGTCGGATCCATTATCAAGGTGAGGCAAAGCTTCGTGACTTTGAGCAGTCACGGTCTTGCAACTCGGAGGAAATTAACCCGTCAAACGACATTGCGTATTTGAGATAATTCTGCAGTCTTTGATACTGGCTATCACCAGAGGCACAATGAGTTCTGGAATAAATAGATCTAATACAAAAATTAAAGCTGTAAGTGCCACTGGGTTTATATTATTACAGCTCTCCTATACCTGCTGAAGCAGACAATAGCTGTATAAATCATAGAGTAGCAACTTCTATTTTTAGTTAATACAAAGCATTCAAAGGAGGAAGACCAACAGAAGATTATGATGCTGCCACTCCTTTATGTTAAATATCACCTTATCACCATATGTCAGACAAACTGTATTTCTGGAGATCTGCAGGAATCTGATGGGAAGCCTCTGCCTTGCATACAGATAAAACGCTTACTACAGAGCAAGGCAGCGGGCTCTGACAGTATCTGAAGGGACTCCAGGTTCTAGAAGCCAGTGCCTTGCCAGAGAAGCTGATCTGCTGGATCACACCCCTGTGCAAGGCAGCAGCCTCGGACATCTGAGTTTGTGTTTGCGGGGCAGACAGTGTTCTGTTCAGTATTAAAATGGCACCTTGTGTTTGCGCAGGGCAGTGACTCTGGTCTCCTGCTGAGCATGGTGCTGTTGCCTTATTTTTCCCTACTTCGAGACTGTGCAAGTAATTCAGATGTTCTGTTTAATCGGATAGAAGATGGGCTTTTTCATAGACTACACATGCAATATGAAAATAATGAATCCCCAGGCTTTAGATGTATCCAAGTATTGCTGATGCCTTAGACTTATAGCTGAGTTACCTCGGTATTGGCTAACTCCTCAGAAGACCTTTTCTTGTAATAAAATAAGGTAAGAGTGGGTAATGAGTAGAAGATGTAAGTATTTTTCCACAACCATTGAAATAAAATTGCTCTGCAGGACAGCATATACTGCACTGGATATCACAGAAGTCTGAATGTTTTTATCTAGGAAGTTGAACTCATTAGAAATATCCAGGAGCTTTTGAAAAGAACTTTGATACAAGCTGGCAACCAGATGCGGTAAGACATTTTTCATGCTCCATTAGTAACTAATTTATATAGCCAAATAATTCCTGACATATAGGGCTACAATGCCCAGTGGATAAAGTTCATAACCATGCCAGGCTTATGAGCCACATGAATTTCATTTAAACCTGAAAGGAGGTACTCAGTGATGAAGCTTGGGGATTTTCAAGTAGGGTAAGGTAAGAGAAGAGCCATGCCCTAAAGCCATGCTTTAGATTTTCAGCCCTGATTTCCAGTATGTGTATTCAGTTCTCCAATTTTCCAACACTAAACTTCAGTGCAATAAAAATATTATCTGGATATCACTCTACATTGTTGCACTTTATGATATATTTGTAGTATAGAATCTTTTAAAATTGCTTACCTGATCAAAGGACCTTTTCAAGATGAATTTTTTGCCGCCAGATGTCAGTATGAGCTTAAAATATGAGACTTCACTCTACCTTCTGTATCAGCATATATGTTCATTGCATTTCAAAAAGAATATTTGCTTTTAATTTATAACAAGCCCTTGGGAAAGATGTTACCTGAATCTTAAGGTGCATCAATAGGATGAGTTAACTGTGGGAAACCTTGATATTTTCATTTTTAATTTTTTTTAATCTGGTCCAATTTATGCTATTCTACCAGATAAAATAAAATGTTGTTTTTAGAAAGAATGTCTATAAATGCAAAATAATTTAACTAGTTCTGTTATATCAATTAGAGTCTGAGAGTAATCTACTGAGGTTAGGCTTCATTTTTTTGTAGTTGTTTTAAGATCATTTTATATTGTCATTGGCCAGCACAGTCTTTTTAATTCCTTAGTTGAGAGTGACATCTGGTGTTAACAGCTGATAATGACCCACTGTCTTTTGTAATCTGAAGTCATTCCAATTAATTTAGTGACATGTGACTCATTATGACGATAAAACAGCAGTTTTAATGCCGAATATCATTGTACCTGTATCTTCCAAAGACAGATTACACTGTCTGCATGCTACAGTCTTTGAAAGGCTAGATAGGAGGGCTCGGAGAATGATATAGGGTCACTTTATGAAGGTCTTAAATTTGAGTCAGGCTCAATATAGTAGTGAAAAAGGAGGACGGGTCTTCTATTAGCACTACCTGATTTTGAATCATAAGGAGAGCATTCTGTTGGGCAAACCTCCTACCTAGTCTCCCCATAATAACTGCAGCTGTAGCCAAAACCCAAAGTCCAACAACTCTTTTGTCTCTGGCTTTAAGAAGTGAGAGATTACCCTAAGTCTTCAGTAGGCACAGAACAGTACTGAAGGTTTAGAGTAGTGGTTAGCACATCAGTCTTCCTGTTCTAGCAGATGATAGTTGTCAGAGAGGGTGTTTGGTTAGGATTTTCGGGACAAAAATGATAGTGTATCTTCTCATTGTTCTTTGAAAGACAAAGGCTCGGAGCCCAGCTTCACAAATGTTTGTGATAGTTTTAAGTGTATTGTTTTCCACTAACAATGTGTGATAATGATGACTTCTCAGATTAAATTGCGATCAGAAAGAGGTTTGTGAAATGGACCGGTCAGACAAAGTTGAAACATACAACATTGATGTTAACTGTGGAAGATACAGTAACCAGAGCACCAACGTCCAGTTCCATCCTGGCTCAGTGAAGTTTGAAGAGAGGTGAGCAGTTACTGTCATTATCCTCCACAAATAACCCTGGTAACACAGTACATCCTTTGTGTCAGTGAAAGCTGTAATGCTGCTCTGAATTAAAGGTGTGATTGCTGCTTCTTTGGACATACAATGCCATAGCTTTAAAATAGCTGCATGGATAGTAAAGGTAGTGCTGCCATCTCAGCATGGCGCACAACTCATAGCAAAGTTGGTTCACTATATGCAGATTGAGTTTGTAGAAGTTTTTCTCAGAAATAATTGGCTTTATACTTTTAAAGCCTGATCTAAATCCTATTGAGACTTACCATATGACATCAGCAGGCGTGCCATTCTTTCAGGAAAGGCACGTGCTTCTTCCTCTACACAGAGAGGATTACTATTACTTGCAAAAAAATCTTGTTTCTTTTTGTTTCAAAGTAGACACAGACTGTAAAGCTTGAATATATTCCTGTGTTTATTTGCTGATGACTTAACTGCTTGTGCTTGCACAAAAAAGTATATGTATAGTTTTTTTGCCTTAGTAGTATTAGCTAAAGATGGAAGAACTTTGGGTGATTTTGTGTCATGTGTTACTTCCCTCAGAAGCCACAAGATGAATGAGAGTTTATTAATTTTATAAAGGAGTAGTCTTCTTGCTTCATGGTAAGTCTAGACTGCATGCAACAGCAAAAACAAATAGAGGTTGACAACACTTTTGCAGGGAGAGAACCAGCTTCAGATCGTCTTCTTAAGTGCAACTTGAACAAAAGAGCAAGGTTCCTATTTGTATACCATCCACCTCTTCTTCCAGTGCCTCAACACCGGAGACATGGGCCAAGTTCAGTCATGACAACATCTATAGAGCAGAACGAGAAAAACTGGCTTCCATCAATCTTCGTGCCTTGATTGACAATATTCTTCATGACGTATCTGAGGACCTGAGGATGCAATGTGCTGCTGTTAACAAGGCCTTTGCCAAACGCTGTGAGGAACTGTATGACACAAAACACAAACTAGAGCATCATTTGGAAAAAGTAAGTGTTATTCTTGAAATGCTGCCTACAGTAGGTTTATCCTCCAGGAAAAATGGCTTAATCCATGTCAGGTACAGAACACTTACTTTGTGTCAGCTTATCATCTGATAAGAGTACTTCTATTTCTGTACTGCTATTTCTTCTATATTCTGGCCAAATAGGAGGTCAAAACTATAAGTGACTCACTAGGACCGTGAAGAGATGTATAGCATGCACAGAGACAATGTGTATTTTTTCTAAACAGTTCTTTTTCTTGGGTATCCTCTTTAGATCCTTAAGGAGGTTGGAGATCAAGAAGCTAACATTGCTGCTCTCAAACAAGCTATCAAAGACAAAGAAGCCCCACTGAAAGTTGCTCAAACAAGGCTATATGACAGGTCTTTTAGGCCCAATGTGGAGCTTTGCAGAGATGAAGCACAATTCAGGTAAACACTATTAAACAAGTCCTCCAAGGTGTCCATTCTATCCAGAAGTGAGGTTAGACAGCTTTTGCACTTTTTATTGGCAACACATGGCCTTTAGCTTTTATTACTAGGTTTGACCCTGATATAAGGCAGAAATAATTCAATTGACTGAAATCACTGTGAGGAAAATAGCATTTTAAGCTAATGCATTGACAAATAGAAAATCTATAGACTCAACTCTGCCTTTTGTCCCTGTGTTTTCTTCTCTGAACTGTGTGGTTTCTTTTTGATTTAGATGATCCAAAAAAATCTGACAGCATGTGAATCACTTGCAACCCTTTTGCTGTTAGTAAAAGTTCACCACAAGGTGGACTATGCGCTGAATGAATTATGCTTCAAGTGCTGAGCATGTAAATGGGCTGCACATACTCATAGTCTGAGACAAGTCTACAGTGCTACAAAGCATTGGGCTGGTGGCATTTGATTTTCAGTAATAATCAGTTTTAAAACTGGAGGTCAACAAATCCTTTCAAATTAAAGGTCTGAATGTCACATTTGTCAGCTTTGATCTCATTATAAGCTTTGTAATTCATTCTCCTCCTTCACATTTTCCTACCCTTAGGAAAAGTGGGGAATCAGGTTTTGCAGGCAAAGGTGCCTACCGTTCAAAGCCAATATGCTGTTCTTTATAGAGTGAGGAAGAAGATATAGTTAATCCAGATGCTTTGTATCGTCTCAGGCACACTCATTTAAGGTCCTGATTCAGCAAACCATCCATGTGCAAGCTTTTCAGTATGTACATTGCCTTTAATGGGATTTAAGGACACATGCAAGTCCTTTGCTGAATGGGCATGTGTTTAATTGCCAGGCTTATACTGTTTGTAGTTACTCAGTTTGCATAGCACACAGGGATCTTGTTTTCCCAGGAAGTAAATATGTGCCTTCTCTGCAGACAGATTGCAGTAAAGCACCTAACCCCCACTGACTTGTAGTTGAAATTATGTGCTGCTTTAAAAATGGTTTGCTGCTTTTTAAAAATGATGTGCTGCTGCTTCTTTAAAAGCTTATATTCTTTTAAAGCAAAGACTTTTCTGATCTCCGGTGCAAGTATCATCTTTGCTACTTGAGTTTTATACCAGTGAACAGATGTAAAAAACCAGGCTTAACAAAATGCTGATCCAGTCAAACTGGGTGACTTACCTAACAATTTCTGTCCTATAATTCTTAGTACAAGTGTCCCACAGAGTGGGAGAGGGTGAGGATGGATAGTTCCACTATGCTCAGTGGCAAAAGACATTCTTGGTACCATCTAAATCATGGGAGACTTCTGTACCGAAGCTGTGAAAGTAAACTCTGCTTTTGACCAAGTATGTGGGAGCTCTCTGAGGCCCTTTGTTGTCGAGTATTATGATTCTATAGCTGTTGATCTTTATTCCCGTTACAGTTCATATGTCTTTTTGAACACCAATTGGCTTTTGCTCTTTTTTTTATTACTTAATGTAATTCTGTTCAGGTTGATCAGTGAAGCTGAAGAACTGACGGAGTCCACTGTATCCCTGAAGAAAAAACTGCTGGAATCTGAACAGTGTCTGAGGAACCTGGAAGACACACGTATGAATTTAGAAAAAGAAATAGCTGTGAAAACAAACAGTATTTTTATTGATAGGCAAAAGTGCATGGCCCATCGCACACGCCACCCTGTTGTTCTTAAATTAGCAGGTTACCAGTAGTAATGTCTGTACTAACTATGCAAAGTCTGGAAGAAAAATGTAGTCTAGAATATTTCATATCAAATACATGGATAATATTATACACAGAAGTACTGTATTCACTGTTATTTTCCTCTGTTTTCCTCTGTTTGGGGTAAAATGCATTAAAATAGTGGGCTTTGAGTCTTGCCTTTAAAAGTTCAGTCTGAGTACAAATGTTTATAGTGAGTTTAAAACACAGCTTAAAGGTAATTCATAACATCATACATGCACAGTATGTGATATTTGGGGGTTTCACCCTAATAAGTGAGTATGTTGAGTGAATATTTATTGTGAATAATAATAATATACACAGATGTAGATACAACATTTATAGCTTTCAAGCATTTTCAGGCAGCCTGAAATGAGAGCAATAAAACTGCTTGCCTGACAGAAGATCCCGTGATCAGCAAGGAAACAGATGATAGACTTTTAAGCTCCTCAAACATTATTAGTTTTAAAAAAAAGTTTGCACAGGTTAGATGACAATCTGACTATTGGCAAACCCACTCCCACTCCGTGACACCTGCTTGTATAATTTGAAAATGAGTCCAAGGATTTTTAACCTTCAAGTCAATAAATTTAGGGGTTTTTTTTCAGAAAAAAAACCCTAAACAGCTTGTGAATAGCAATCATGACTTTCAACTTAAGCACTTGGATGTTGAATTGAGCTCTTGATCTGTTCCAGCCATTCCCTGGAAGCAAGGCATGTGTTTGAACTAGTACCCATAATGGAGAACACATCAAATTCATCTACTCCAGTAGAGCAATGTAACAAACGTCGTTCATCCATTAGCTTAGTAGACCACTTGGTTAAATAGGTGACGTGTGTCAAAAAAAAAAAGGAGAAAAGATGACATGGAACAAAATTCCATTATGGTTTCCTGTATTACAGTTTTTTACTTTTAAAAAGCAGCTGATCAAAGAGAGAGAAAAAAAAACCAAACTCAAAAAGCAGAACACACAAAAAAACCCTAGCCAGCATACATTTCTGAATAGCCCTGCTCTGTTAACCAGAACAGGAGAGGCCATTAGCCTATCTGTTTTTCTCACAGACAGCTATTTGTATTATCTTAACTCAGGATGTGCGGGGCACTATTCAGCGATTGTGCTCCTGCTAAAAGCTACTACCATTTCTTTGAAAACCAGCTGCGTCAGTGAGGGCTTTTGACCCAAGCCTCTGTTTTACAGGCTTTGTGTTGGAGAGTTTTGTTTTGCTTTTTTAAGAGATTTCCTCTTCATGATTATATTTTTATAGTGTTGAATCCTTATTAGAGAGAAATGGCACATAGATTAAAAAAAATAAATGTGGCTCTACTATGCATAGAACTTAAAGCAGTTACTAAAGGTTATTTCTGTAGACTGAAAACATTCTTCTTCATTCTGCCTTTCTTAAAAGACCTTCACCACCCTTCTTCTTGGCAGCATATTCTAGCCTGTTCTTCATGCTCAAATCTTGCAGCCTAATCGGTTGGATTACACGCCATATATGCAGCTACATCACTGCACAATTGTGTATAAAACTGACTTTAGCTGCACTAGAAGAATAAAATGCTTTAAAGGGTCTTACAGTATTCAGAGCTGTGGTGTTAAGAATTTTGGTCATTTAGCCCCAGCCTCTAGACAGTGCTGCTTGTTTGATGTCGTGTATGTCTCTAGGTGTTCACCTAAAATAGAGAGAGAAGTAAGACAGTGAACCAAGCTTTAGGTTAATGGGGATAGTCACAGAAATTTTTCAGAAAGTACAGAAAAGAGCAACATATTGACCTTACTCACCCACTAAAGGAAAAAACCATGGAATCAAAGTGGAATTTGGGTTATGATTATGGCAGACAGGATGAGGAGAATATTCAGTCCAGGACCCAGAACTATTATTTTGATTCAAGAATTTTGCATTAGAGAGAGGAAAAGAAAAGTGCTGTCATCTTCTCTGAGACTGTGCTGAGTACAAATAACCTTCTGCTCCATATTGGGTAGTAAATGGAGCTTTCCCTAATTAAAGCCTATCAGTTTAATTTACCTTTGTGAACTAAATGAGTCTGTCCTTGCTGTAGGCCAATCAAGGAAAATCTTGCTCTGGTAAACCTAATACATGGACAGGAGTGTAATCACTGCCCTATTCACATGATAATAGATGAATACAAGTGAGTGGTAAGAGTAAGAATTAGACGGAATAGCTTTAAGTTTCAGCAATTATTTTTTCTTTAATTACTGATTTTTAAAAAATAATCATTAACGCCACTGCTCTAGCATGTAAATATGTTTTATATTAATTTTTCATAATTCATTTTTAAGTTGAGGATTTACCAGGAAATATTTAAAAATATCTTTTAGCTGGTTCTGATATGAGCTAGGGTCACAGGTGAGCTATAGCTTCCAATTGTCTTGAGCTCTACCTGTTAATCTATATGAAAAGTCTGGACTTCTTTGACTTCATTAGGATTTTTTTGTTTATTACCCTGAGAAATTTCTGATTGTGAAGACAAAGTTTAATTTCTGGAAAGTCTGGGAGTTTTCTCATCTGCTTACAGGTAGAGGAAGGAATTAGTGATGTGATAAATAATACCTTATAATGCCTGGTGCAAGGACTTCAGGAAAAAACAGGAGTGAGGACCCATTAAAAACTTATTTGTTCCTTAAGAGCAGATGGCATTCTGCAAAGGGAGCAAAGAAGGTTACAGAGAAATGGGAGATAATATTTGTGTGGTATTTTTATCATGAATAATTGATTTTCTCTAAGATTGAAGCTTAGAAAAGCTGTCTAATAATTTCAGCCTTGTACCATGTCACAGGTCACTCAAAAATTTAGTACCAAAGTGGCAGACACCAGCACCAAGATGCTGAGGTGAGATTTTTCAGAAGACTCTGTCTCTGCTTTTGGACCCCTGACACATGGTACAAACAATACCCGCTTAAAATATTGATCTTTAATTCAATGTACGTGGTAATAGCCACAAGGACAGCCAGTAATACCAACTGTGTCTTAAAGAAGAGATCTGAACACAGGCAGTTTTTTCTATTGTTGTTCAAGATTCTGTTTGAGGTAATTTGCAGCGTAATTACAAAATAACCTGCAGAGAAGTGGAAATGATTTTAAAATCTTTTCCTGAGCAATTTTTTCCAAGTAATTTCTGGATAGTCTCTTAGTTCTACTGGCCCCTCTAAGTAAATTGCATCCCAACATCAGTCTTAGCAGTAATAAAAGTTGCAATAACAACTTTATAGCTATGTACAGTGCTCATTAGTGCCCTTTTTTATTCCTCGGATGTGTCTGATAGCTAGGTCACACACCGGGTCCAGGCAGCAATGAAGAACCTTTAAAGCAGATCCAAAAATTCCTCATACAAGGGTTGTTTGCAGGAGCTTTGCAAGGTTGTTTGCAAGGCTTGTTTCCATATATTCGATCCCCTTTTCCATGTCCGAAGTGGCAGCATGGTCTTCATAGCATTGAGAAATAAACCCCAGCTGAACAGGAATGAGGAGAACTGGCTGAATAGTGAAAGGCTGGTGCGGTTAATATGTCCATGAACAAACAACCTGAGCTGGACTTGCCATCAATAACATAATTGGATATTATTTTGTAACTAAGTAGCACTTGATAAACATATTAATCTTGAAAATTTCTTAAAGTTTGTTTGGAAAATAGCTATCCGCTGTTTGTTATTTGTCCTCCTGTTCAGAGTTTATATACCTGAAGTTAACAGATAGAAAATATTTCATGTGCCCGGGTACCCAAGCAGACTCTGACCAATCCACACTCTGAGCAAAGTGTACTTCGAGCTGTTGTTGTTCAAGCTATTAAACCAACGCTTAAGCCCACAATTAACCAAAGGGGTTATGAAAGCCTGCAAAGACGGTTGCCTTCAACACACCACCTTACAGTATCTGCTCACTTCAAGCTCCTTTGTTACTAGAGGCTTTGTGGTCTCCGGTCTCTGGGATCATGCTTATCACCAAATGGATGAGAACTAGTTTATCTCATCGAAAGTTTTTGCATCCAGTCCCTTCAAAGAAAGTTTGCCTGAAGAAAGGCTTCAGTGGGACTCTTACATTTAGTCTGCTCGGGAACAGGCATCATGCCTCGTCATGTCTTCATCAAGGCTGAAACGCTCATGACGTGCCGGAATGAGAGTTCGTCCCTTGAGATGCTGAATGTCTTTAATTCCCACTACTGCCTGTTGTCTCAGGAGGAGTGACGGGCCCCTCAGGACCACATCGTGGCTGCATTCCTCTCTGAATGAGGAACCACAGTCTGTTCTTACCATTCTGTGGGTGATGAATGTAGTTGTTCCTATGACAAGCTCACTACTGCATCATTATTTTTTAAAAAATCGTGTGTATAGGGGGATATTCTGGTTACTACAACTTGTTACATGTGCCAGGCACATGCACTTTAGCCCTACAAATTCCTCTGAAGCTTTCCTTAGAAGAAAAAACAAAGGAGGAAGGGAAGAGTAAGCAAGTTGAGTATTTAGGAGGACTAGACAGTAAGAAAACCTTTTTGAAGCAAGCCTATGTTGACAAATGTTTTTAGACACCTGGCTCCTAAGACAGTATTTCAATCCCATGGTTTTTGATAGGAATTACAAAAATTATAATTTTGCATCATCCATAGTACTATTGTGTTATGAGGAAAATCAGCCACTGCAGTAATACCCTCTCCTGCAGAGATGGATTTTACGCCAAACACTTACAATGGTAACAGCTCCAAGCTGGGGTTCTGGAGGTGTGCCTCAGTTTACCTGATCTGCAGACCATGCTAGGAGACACTTTGTTTTGGACACGGTTGCAGGAGTCAGCCTGCTTGCATGTAGCCTGTTGTTTGGAAATGCAGAAGCGTGGGAATTTGATAGAGAATTATTCCTCTTTGGTTCCCCCATTTGCTTCTTTTCCCTTATGTCTTGCAATTCAGTCACATTGAACATGCTGTGTCTCTGCTTGTGATGCTTCTTCATATATGGAGAGAAACTTTATCTTAGCTCTTTAAATGCCTTTTATTATCTATTTGGGGAATGGAAAAAAGAAGCCAGACCGTAAGT